TTATTTTCTCCTGACCTTGTAGCAAACCTGCCCTTGTTATAAGAACCAGTCTTAGGGTTTTCTTTCCTCAAATACAGAACTCCAGTGTTATGTTTACAATTTGTCAAATTAATTCAGCATTATCAGACCTTGATGCCCAAAGATATACTTCCCTTTTGGTACCAGATCCCAGGTCTTTGAGAAATAACATGATAAACCACTACCTATGTAGGCCTATTTTGGCTAATCTGTGCAAACTCTGATCCCACCCATGTATATATGTTCTGTCCCATATGACTTTCAGTTTTGTTGAGAATTAAGGCTCAGTAAGCTAGTATAGTAACTTCTGCAAAGAATTAAAAGTATATGATATTCTCTGTTTTTCCCTTCTGTTTAGAAACTTATATTTAAACAAAACTTTTAAATCTCATTTTAAGATTTTAGTTTAAAATCTGGTGTCACCAGGCTAGCAGATCAAAAATCCATGATATAAAACAGGGCTGTGTTTATGTTATTAATGAAAACATTTTTTAAAAAAGCTTTATGTGTACTCTATAAATACAGATACATAGACAACACTTCCCCTTTGAGTTGCATATCAACATACAGCATTGTGTATTACAATGAAAATTTGTAACTTAAGGTTATTATATATATATGTATACACCTTTGTATCCTTTATACTGTAAATAAAATACTGCTTTTAGATTTTTATTTCTCTCTCTCATTTTTCTTTTTATGTTGTAATAGTTTCAAACCTAAAGGTAAATTTCAAAGACATAGAACTCTTACCTCCCCTTTACCCAATCCTGCCATTATTAACATTTTACTCCATTTTTCTTTTCTGATAAGAAATCTCATCACCCAAAATCAAGACACTCTTAAACTGCCAACTCTTAAACCTCTCCCAATGAGTGTATCAGCTTTAGTACAATACTGTCATCCTATGTCCTTCAAATGACACCAGTCATCGAAGGACGTCTTTTTCTTTTCTGGTTCAGAATCCTGTCCAGTGCCTCCTGTTGCATTTGGTTATCATATCCCAACAGTAGCTTCAGTCTGGTTTCACATAATAATAACAAAATCACATAATTAAAGGTCTTCAGTTTCTCTCAAATTCTGTCTTACCAAGATCAAGTCTTTCATTCTGCAGGACAAACCTCCCCATTTAGGTTGCATGATCTTGCTACGGATCAGATGATGAATGCTGGGCAAGAATGCCACAAAGTGATGCTGTGCCCCTTCTGAGGACATCACATGATGTCAGGCAGTCCCCCCGTAGTGAGGCTAACTTTGATCAGTTAGTAAATTTAGTGTCTTCACAGTCTTTCTCTATTTGATTAATGTATTGTTTTGGGGAGATTCTGATCCAGTGCTAAGATGCTGTTCTTCATCAAACCTCTGCCCACCAGCCTTTGCATCCACTGATGTATTTAGTCTTATTTTTTTCCTAGCATGTTATTGTAAGCAAGAACTTCCTCTTCTCTCCCATTTATTTACCTACAGATTTGTTCCTTCCATTCCTAATGTGCCTTCTGCCTCCCATCACTTCCCTGAAGCATTTTTAGCTGAGGCCCTCATCTCTTTCTGCCTTTTTAAAAAAATTATTATTAAATTTTATTAGTTTTAATGAACATTTACAAGGATTTTGGGTTTTCATTCCTTCATTGCTGCACCATTCTCTCTACCCTCCTCCCCAGTTTGTTCTTCTTCCCCCGCCATCCGAATGTCTGTTTTAATTGTCCAGTTGCCACAGTGCTTGTCAAAGCCAGTTCTGATTAATCTCCTTTGTCAGTGTGTTCTTTGCCATTCCCTATCAGTCCTCCCTGAGAGAGACTTCACCCTGATTCATAAGGAAAAGGGGATGGCATATTCTCTTAGCTACTTCCTGCTGAAAAGGGACGCTGTGGGTTTCAGGGTGAAGATCTTCTCTCACTACTCTAAAGGGCCCCTTTGGCAGCAGGAAACACATAGACTATTATCGAGATTGATTTTGGAATTTAGATGCACTGTTATTAATTGTGCTTAGCCGTACATGTTCATATCCTTGAAGATGTATCATGGGGGTGTTGCAACCTAGAAGACACAAATTTAACAAGTTAAAAGTACATGAGTCAAAAATTATGGAAAAGAAAAGATTCTTTCATTGTTTTACAAACCCTCCCCCAGGTCCCCTCCACCATGTAGCCCTTGCTCTAGTCTCCTGTGATGACAGAAATACCTAGTCACATATCTCTTTTAAACAGTTTTCTCCCTCCTCTGTTTCAGTGCAGTATACATTATTGAACCCATCTTACTCAGTCTCTCCCCAACCCCGAGGTTAGTCCCATTCTACAACAGTGGCATCATGCAATATTTGTCCTGTGCCTGGGATATTTCACTCAGCATTAATGTTCTCCAGAGTCAACCATTTTGAATAATATTGCATGAGTTCCTTGTTTTTCAATGCAGCTTAGTATTCCATTGTGCGAATATACCACAGCTTCTCTAGCTCTGTTTGTTGATGGGTCTTTCTGCCTTCTTTGCTGCATTCAGTACTGCTGTTCCTGTCTTCCCCCTTCTCATTTTTACTAGTTTGCATACATTTATTCATGTACATTGTGTTTCATCATGTACATTTTGTTTTATACAATCTTTCATTTTCCTCCCTTCTTGTAACTGCTCTTTTCTCCAAGCCACTCTGCCAGTTGTTCCTCTCCACTTGTAAGGCTGCACCGCTTATGCAAACTCACTTCCCCTGGCCAAGAGATTTGAAAGCCCCAGTTCTCACTCCCCAAGAACTCTTACTCATGCCCAGATGTCTCACCTTTCCTCTGAGGTCCTGATGCGGCAAATGGAACGTTTTCACAAGGATATCAAAAGGCACCTCACACCTTGTATCTTACCTATAATCGCACCAGTATTTGTCACTGGTTTTTGTCCATGTTCTCTAGCTCAGCAACTCTGCCAGCCAGAAACTCAGGAGTCACCCCTGATCCCTTCCTGTCCTTCATGTACCAACCCATCTTCAAGTGTTTAGGATTAGTCTTCCTAAATTCACTGTGCACACATTTCTCCAAGCCTTCCCCCCATAGCTTTTCTCACCTCTGTGGACTCACACTACCAACAGCCTGCTTCTCTTTCCCATCTTTTATATCTAGCAGTAGAATTCTCTATCCAGCTACGCACACCTTATTTTAAAATGTGGTCTCCAGTTGTTCTTAGGATGAAAGCCAAACACTTTACTATAAGCAAATGCCTTGTTCTCTTCCTACCAGGTCACATTATACGCATCGCCTTCTTTTCTGCTTCTGGGCGGCAGTCCAGTTTCTTCAGGTCCACCAGTGGCCTCCTGGGGTCTTTGCACAGACTTATTATCTCATTAACCTGGAGTGCTCTTTTCCTCCTCATTCCTCCAACACCCCCTCCCCCACTTCCATGGGAGCCTAGATCTCTATCATAGATTACCTATGTGAAACTGACATAATGTGTGGACACTCAAACGTGGGCCCTGACAGAGTTCTTTTGCCTCTGACTCAGCTCCATCACAGTTCTGTTGACCACGGCTGTACCTCATATTAGCACAGCTGGGGGACTGGTAGGTACTTATTAAAAGAGAAAGAATGTTAACCAGTTCGCTGTGCTGAAGTTCATTCAGGTAAAGCCCTACATTATGGAAGGTGACGGAAAAGGCTGGGGGGGGGGTTTAATATTTAAAAAGACAAAACAACAAAAGGCTTTAGATAGAACCACTGATAATGTTAACAGCTGCCAAGCACTGTGCTTTACTTAAGGTAATTCATCCGTACCTCCATACACACCCCAAAAAACCTCTCAAGCATTCATTATTCTAACACTCCGGGGAAGGAGCCTGGGGAGCGCTGGTGGTGTGTAATCCGAAGGGAGCTGCGCTAACCCAGAGGCCAAATTTGTCCATCTGTTGGAACCCACCAGTGGCTCCGCGAGAGAAAGATGGACAATCTCCTCTCGAGCAATTGACAGCCTCAGAGACCTAGTGAGGGGCAGCTCTCATGCAGTAAGACCGAGTTGATAAGGCGCTCTGGTGGTCTAGTGGGTAGGGAGTTGGACTACAGCACATGCTTCGCGGGGAAAGACTGGCAATTTCCTCCCGATTATCAGCTTCCAGAAAAGTCGGTTCGAACCCGACCCAGTTGAGTGAGGGAGTGATATAGCAGTTAAAGCACTCAGCTGTTCACCAAAAATGGTGAGGGTTTGATGAAAGCTTTTACAACGCCTCCAGCTTGAGAATCCTGTGGGCGGGCCTACTTTCTAGGGTTGCTAAGAGGGAAAAAGGACAGGCATGCAAAGGTTATGCCTGACTGAAAACGAAAGGTAGTTGGTAACCAGAGAGGAAACCTACACGATCGTCCACAAGTTGGCTCCGACTCAAAGCTACTCCTTGTGTGCACGTCCGTCCTGCGTCATCTTCTCAGGTGCTAACGCCGAGCCCACTATTCCAATCACTAAGCCAGTCTTGTCGAGGGTCTTCCTCTATTTCTGCTGACCTACTTTCTCAGCACGATGTTCTTCTCCCGGACTTGGTCCCTCCTGACATTATGTCCGAAGTAAACGAGACAGAGAGCCCTCGTTCTTGCTTCTCAGAGGTATTTTAGCTTCATTTTCTCCAAATATCTCCCCGCCCACCTTGATTCTGGCTCCACCCAAAATGACCCTCCGCCTCCAGGGCTTCCCACAGAGCCCGGCCCCCTCATCCCCGCCCCTTCCTCCCTTCGACCCGCCCTTTTCCTCTTTGACACGCCCCCTCGCTCTCCGACACGCCCCTTCCCTATCCGACACGCCCCCTCGCTCTGCGACACGCCCCTTCACTATCCGACACGCCCCTTGTCCCGTTCCTGTTCCCGCTGACCCGCAGCCCGCACGGCCCCTTCGCGCGCCGATGGGCGTCGCTACTAGGTTGCGGCGAGGAGCACCCCCTGTAGTACCAGCCGTGGCCACCGGGAGGCAGCCGCGCTCCTCGGGCCTGGCCGCTCTGGGCCGCGCTCCTCGCTCGCCTCGGTCTCAGCTCCGGCTTCTCGCGGCCACCCTGCCTGCCCCCAGCCCCGACCCTTCGGGCTTCCCGTACCGGACACAGCGCCTCGACTCTCCGGGGCCGTACCGAGGCCACAGACAGCACCGCAGGGTGTGGGGCGGATCCAGGAGATGAAATGACAACGTCAACCCTCCAGGTACCTCGGCGCGGCTTGCGACGGCGAAGGAGGCGCGGCAGGGCCTGTGGGCCGCGGAGCTGGGCGGGCGGACGGGTGGGTGGGCCGCCTCCCCGGAGCCTGGCCTCGCGGCCCCGTCCTGCTCCTGTGTATCTCCTCCGGGGGTTTCTGTGTTCACGTGCTGGCAGCTGAGGGACGACTCCCCTTGCGAGGCCATCCCCAGCTGGGCCGAGCCCGAGGCTGCTTCGTGCAGCCGGTACCGGCGTGCGGTCAGCCCACCCCCCCCCCCCCCCCGGGCCTGCGGGCGGCTCTTGGGGGAGCTCGAGCCTCTGTCCGGCTGATCGCTCGGGTGGAGCTGCCTCCTGCTTCGAACTGCCCCACGTCGAACAAGCCCTGGCCCCTTCCTCGGTCTCAGGACGGACGACCCCTTCATTCATTCCTCAGGTCGCACCAGGCGCTGCAGGGTGGCGCCTCACGGGTGAAGGATTGACCCATTGCTCTGGTACTGCCAGCCCTGCAGGGCCAGAAACATAAACGTGCCCAGGCACCAGCCCTGGGTTTGATCTGCTCGGCTCCTTACTTAGCATATGACCTTGGGCTGGTTTATTTGCCCCTTCTGTGAAATGGGAATGAGAGTACCCTAATCAATAGTCCTGAAGTGAGGATGGATCGAGATTGAATAATTCAGTTCAAACATTTACAACACTATGGCTGCCTGGTACACGGTTAAGAGCTCCGTAAATGGTAACACATGATAACATAAAGTATTGGAGGAGTTAGGCCAAATCTCGCGAAGGAGAAGCCATTTGGCCAGAACATTGAAGTCTGGTAACACTCCCATAAATGTGGGGAATGGGGAAAGTGGGAACAGAGGCATGGAATAAAACTGCAGTGCTGGACCGTGGAATTAACTAGACCCTAGTCTTGGATCCAGCTGGCCAGCCGCTTTTTTGTATGCCTATGATGAACTAAGAATAAAAATGGTTTTTACATTTGAAAATACAGCTTTATCAAGGTATTTTGTTGTTGTGTACCGCTGAGTTGGTACCTACTCAGAGCTGACTCTCCAGCATCTTTTCAAAGGCAGTCAATTCATCGCAAGAGAGGAAATTACCCATTTTTCTCTCCCAGAGTAGCTGGTAGGTTTGAACTATGTGACTCTGTGTTGGCAGCAAAACTCCTTACCACTAAGCCACCAGAGCTTCCCTTAAGATATAATTTACAGTAAATGTAATTCACCCATGTTTGTTTGTGGATATACTGTGTAGAATATTTTCATCACTCCACAAAGAAACCTCATGTTCCTTAATGGGCAGTCTCTAATCCCCATGCCCTCCCTGGCAAATTATTTAATATAAACTTTCTATTTGTAATATTTGCCTTTTCTACACATTTTATATATGTGGGCTCATATGACACATAATCCTTTCTAACTGTTTTCACTTAGCATAATCAGAAGTTAAAAATCATTGTGAAACCAACTCATAACTGACCCTCCAGCAGGTTTTTAGAGGCTCTCCAAGGCCTGGAAGGAGATTGCCCATCTTTCTTCCGTGGTACTTTTGGGTTGGCAGTACATCTCCTTACTACTAGGCACCAGAATTTTCAAAATTGGAACAGATTTTTGGTTCTTAATTTGTAAGCGGTTAGGGGAAGGGGCGGAAATTAACAGCTGTTTGGTGGCCTGTGGAAATCATGCAGGTCACACAGCCTGCCGTGTCCGGATGAGTGTCTTTGGGAGCACAGCCTTGCTCAGGCTGTTCCACACCTTCTTTGGCTTCTTTTGCACTGCAGTCACAGAACTGAACACTTGCAACGGACTGGATGGCTGGCAATCTAAAATGTTTACTCACTGGCTCTTTGCAACCATGTCTTCACGTTCATCCTCTGGAGGACTTGTTACTAGAGGCACAGCAGGGCTGACAGTTTTGTTTGTCACCTTACCTTCCTGTTACACAAAACTGCTCCTCTCCTGATTGAAGCTGAGGGCCTCCTGCACGTGGAAAACTGCAAGTGCAGGAAAAATCGGATGCACTCTTAGGTGTCAACATTAAGGATTTTGACGGAGGGAGGGCCTGCGTGCTCCACCTGCAAGTATTATTCTGGGCCTCACTTTTCAAAAGGACTAGAGGAACCCAGGAGTCCCTGGGTGGTGCAGTCGTTAAGCATTAGACAGCTAGCTGAGAGGTTGGTGAATCAAACCCACACAGAGGTGCCTCACAAGACAGTCTTGGGGATCTACTTCTGTTTTCTGCCTCATGAATCCTGTTAGGTGAAACCATGGGGTCACTGGGAGTTGAAAGGGGCGCCTTGCACCTAATAACAGCCATAGCCACAGTGAAGCCAGGGTCGAAGCAGACCGCTGGAGAAGAGTGAAGCCCCAATTTCATCTCAAGGGTCCTCGGGGAGGAAGACTAGATACGTAATCATCTGGGTGGTGCAGGGCTCCTAGCCAGTGTGTCAGTCAGTAGTGGAGGGGGCTAAAGCCAGTGGGCTCACACACACCCATATTCGCCTTGCATCTGGTCAGTCCACTTGCCGTCAGCCTGGCCTTGCTCACTCCAGTCAGTGTTGTCGTCTGCATTCAGCTGAGGGAAGGGCATCACAAATGTCCAGCCCTGCCAGCAGCTGGCCAGGAGGGATGTTGTTTGCTGGGCAAGTGCACAGCGGATATGCACACTGGGGACAGTGCAGTGTTATATCTGACCTGGGATGGTGCTGTATTTGAGTGGGGATGGTGATTTTTGTCAGTGCTTCCTGGCTGGTGAAGCTGCATTTTCTAAAAGTGGACTTGTAGGTGTGGGGCAGCTGCCCGAAAGAGCCAGCCTGCTTTTTGCTCATACTGGGGCACTGCAGGGTTTATCACCAAGATTCACTCTTTTAAGAAGGTTTCAAATGACAGTGCCTGTCAATTGACAGCACATATTTGTCTCTGCTGTAACTTTTCTCACTGGAGTTGCTTGCAGAGTACCTGAGCATCCCTCCTGGGTCCTCACCTTTAGGATGATAGGATGACTGCCTTCTCTTCTGAGCCTAGAGCAGCAGGTAGAGTTAGGCCAGTAGAAGGGACTGAACATCCCTTTAAATCCTTCTTGTAGAACTCTTAGGCTGATGAAGGACTTCCCTGACTGGCTGACTGCTCTCTGGCCTCCATGCAGAGCTACACAGCCAGCAGTTTGTCCAGCATTTTCTGATGCCAGACCCTTGTCGCCTTAGTCCATGCCTGCCTTGTCCCCTTGAGACCAGGTAGTACTCAGTCCTGAGAATGCTCCCTGTTGAGCCCAAACCTGAGATGTTGGCTCAGGCTCTGCTTGCTGAAACCTGGAGCAGGGACTTTCATCCCAGCCACGTGTGCTGCTTGTGAGGTGTGACAGCGAGCTCAGAAAGTGTCCTCTTAGGGCCTTGAACGGTGAGGTTGGGAAGTGGGCTGTCTGCCCTGGCGGTATCTCTCGTCAGTGTTTCCTGCTACCAAGGACTTCCTAGGTCTCGGTGGGAGGACGGACTGTTGTTCTGCCTTCCCAGAAAGCCATTGATCTTGTGACGAAAGCTACCGAAGAGGATAAAGCCAAGAACTACGAGGAGGCCCTCCGGCTCTACCAGCATGCCGTGGAATATTTCCTGCACGCCATCAAGTGTGAGTCGCGGGGGCCTGCCACAGAGCATGTGCAGGAGGAGGGCAGGGACCCTCCTTTCACTCTCCTGTCCCCCTGCAGATGAGGCACACAGTGACAAGGCCAAGGAGAGCATCCGAGCCAAGTGCATGCAGTACCTGGACCGGGCGGAGAAGCTGAAGGATTATTTACGGAACAAAGAGAAGCATGGCAAGAAGCCGGTCAAGGAAAGCCAGAGTGAGGGCAAAGGGTGAGTGGACGTGGCAGCGGGCAGCAGGGGTGCTGGCAGGGGTGCCAGGTGTCCAATCCCTGGGACCTCACATGCCACTGCTGTCCTTGGTACTAATGCTTTGCTTATGAAGAATTCTCATGATACTAGTAATGCATGCAGCTCCTTTCATTAGATTCTTTCTAGAATACTTTCATATATATAAGTATATGTAAGTATAAGAAGCCCTTTCATATATATGTAATGTGGATTAGTGAATAAATGTGCCATGCTGCTACCCAAAAGGTTGTTCAAACCCACCAGTCACTCTGTGGAAGAAACATGGGCAGTCTCCTTCCATAAAGGTTGACAATCTCAGGAATCCAACGTAGGGGCACTAAGAGTTGGCACTGACTCCACGGCAGTGAGGTTTTATATATATTGTCATCTGTCATTCCTTTGGATCTGTGCAAAAAGATGCTGTGGAACCTCGGGTACAAATTCAGACTGATGGTCAGGATGAAACCACTCACCCATGTCTACATGTGTGATTGTGGACTTGGGCTGGGATACCACTCCACTCCCAGTGCCTCTAATCCCCTTGTTTCCCTGCTTGTGCTATAAGGAAGAGGTGCAGTGACTTGGGCACCACCCTTCGAAAGCAGCCTGTCCCTACAAACCTGAATCCTTTGCTCTTGAATCTGTTCTGCCTCATAGCAATCCTATAGGGCATAGTAGCTCTTCCCCACAGGGTTTCCAAGCTGGTGGCCCAGTGGTAAAAAATTGTGATGCCAACTTACAACAACAACTCAGAGTTAGGCAGTTCAAATCCACCAGCTGCTCCACAGGAAAAAGATGGGCATTCTCCTTCCTCACAATTTACAGCCTCCAAAAACCCCCTGGAAGGTTGGCCACGAGCTGGTTCTAACTTGATGGCACCTAACAATGGTAGTCTTTGCAGAAGAGTACTACCACATCTTTCTCAGAGCAGCTAGTCAATGTGAAACATCGACTTCCAGCTGAGTACTTAAACACTGTGCCACCAGGGCCCCTTCTACTTGGCACTTGGTAAACACTAAATACACTGTCCTTATTGTTAAACAGTCATCATCTTTCTCTGCACAGAGCTGGCCCATGGGCGGCCTGCCCATGCCAGGTCTCTGGTTCACAGTCAGTGCTCTTTCTATACAGCCTTTCACCTGAAGCTACAGTCCTAGGACTCCTAAGTGGTCCTTAAGACTACTCTAGCTCAAGGTCCCAGGTCAGCAGACAACACAGGAAGCAGCAATGTCCTGGCCTCTGGCGCCTCTCTTCCAGCAGGGAAGGAGATGATATACAGGATGAGATGCCAACTTACAATCTTTGTCTCCTTTCTTAGCAGCGATAGTGACAGTGAAGGGGATAATCCAGAGAAAAAGAAATTGCAAGAACAACTGATGGGTAAGAGACTTAAGGCCCCATGGCAGTGGGAGGGGGACCTTGGCCAGGCTTGAGGCTGAAGACCTGCCTCCCTTCTCAGGTGCTGTCGTGATGGAGAAGCCTAACATTCGGTGGAATGATGTGGCTGGGCTCGAGGGGGCCAAGGAGGCCCTCAAAGAAGCTGTCATTTTGCCAATTAAGTTCCCACACTTGTTCACAGGTAAGGGTTGAGGCACTGTGGGCCCAGATTCTGAAAGAACTCCTCAAGAGGTATCCAGAAGCTTGTGGAAACTTGACCCAAAAGGCTGAGCCCTGAGCCTTCGCAGAGGAAGAGAAGCCCTAGGGACTGCTCACCCGGTCCTCTCGGCCTTGTTTCTCTCTGCTGTCAGAGACACTTGGGATTAGAACTTTGACTTGATCTTCCCAGTGGGTGGCAGAGTTGGGAACCAGCGCCAGCCAGCCCACGTCACTTTGGAAGGTCAAGGGAGGGAATTAGCAAGGACTTGGCCTAAGCTCTCAGCCTATAATTTGGCTCTCTTTACTCCTTTGCTTTTATAATCACTTGCCTATGGAGTCATTCCTGCCTTGTTTACAGTGTTGACAGATTCTCTGCTTTTCCCTCGTCTGCTTGCCCCCATCAGGAGGTACACTCATTGGATTTCCTCTTTATTGCAGGCAAGCGCACCCCTTGGCGAGGGATACTGCTCTTTGGACCCCCTGGCACAGGGAAATCCTACCTGGCCAAAGCTGTGGCCACAGAAGCCAACAACTCTACCTTCTTCTCTGTGTCTTCCTCGGATCTGATGTCTAAGTGGCTGGGAGAAAGTGAGAAGTAAGTCAGCCATCAAGGCCTGCTCTGTGGGGCCCTGGGCCCAGGCCTGGTCCTTCCTGGCCCCTCTCAGCCACTGCCTGGGTAGCTCTTGGTGGATATTCAGAGAAAGGAGCCAGGAGAGAGAGCTTGCTGGCTTACTGGATGGGACACTGTCTTGAACAGGTGGTTCAAACTGGAGGGGAATTTGGGAGGAGGTATTCAAGAAGGGAAGGAGGAAGAACTTGGAGTAATTATCAGCCCATGTCTCTGCTGGGACTGCTGATACACTTCAGTTAATGTATCCTCACACCAGCTTTCAGATGATGAAACTGCAATGGTCAGAGAAAGGGAAGGGACCTGTTCTAAGCCCAGAGCTCATGAATGGTCCCACCAAGTTAACACTGATACCAAGGCTTACCCTTCCTTTTGTTGCAGTGCTACCATGAGTATCTGTCACTGCAGTTTTTCTCCAAAGCTCCAAGCCTGACCCTTGTCTCCACTTTCCCATGGGAGGGACTAGAGGAGAAAGGTGGTGGAGGGCCTGGGTGAGCACATGAGTTTTTTGCCTGCACAGGCTGGTAAAGAACCTGTTTGAGTTGGCCCGGCAGCACAAGCCCTCCATCATCTTCATCGATGAGGTGGATTCCCTGTGTGGGTCCCGAAACGAAAACGAGAGTGAGGCTGCCCGCAGGATCAAAACAGAGTTCCTGGTCCAGATGCAGGGTGAGTGCCAGTCCTGGGTCCCCATGTTGAGTGAGCTCCACTCCAGGCCAGTGTGGGGCTTCCCTGCTTAGCTGGGGTTCAGTTTGTTCGTCCTTAGGGTGAGGGAAGTCCTGTCGCAACTCTGAAGGGCTCCATTGGAGAGGGGCTATCATGGTCTGAGGTCTTTTCCGCCTGTCCTTCTGCCCCTCCAAGACCAGCAGTGTCTTCATAATAGTGACTCCTCCTAGGCCAACATGTGGTTTAATTTCACGTGGGACCTCTGCCCATGGTGGTTTCAGGTCATCAACACACAAAGCTCCTGAGGTCTGATCATCAGCGGTTTTTCAGAGTTCTCATCTTTGTCTCTTTTGTTGCTCAGGGGTGGGAAACAACAATGATGGGACTCTGGTTCTTGGTGCCACAAATATCCCATGGGTATTGGATTCAGCCATTAGGAGGAGGTGAGTCTTCCCCAGCAGGTGGCAAGGGCTGAAGTCTTTCTCCAGCCATTGCTCACGTACCCTGGGCAGCCCCTCAGTGCAGCCTGAACCCTCTGCCACCTGTGTTCCCGTGGGGAGCCAACCCTTTTCCTCAGTCTGCTACTTCAGGGCCTTGTTGCTGGCAGCACTGGCCTTACAGTCACCTTTCTTCTTTAGAATCCCTGTTAATTACCATGCCACCATCAGCTCTCAATTCTTGCTCTGTGTTTGGCTCTCCAGGTTTGAAAAGCGAATTTACATCCCGTTGCCAGAGGAAGCTGCCCGGGCCCAGATGTTCCGGTTGCATTTGGGGAGCACACCCCACAGCCTCACAGATGCCAACATTCACGAGCTGGCCCGGAAAACGGAAGGCTACTCGGGTGCAGACATCAGCATCATTGTGCGGGACTCTCTCATGCAACCCGTTCGCAAAGTACAGTCGGCAACACACTTCAAGAAGGTGAGCGAGCTAGCGAGCAGGTGTGTGGACAGTTCTACCGTGAAAAAAGGACCTTAGTTTCTTTGCCAGCCCCCTGGATTTTCAGGTGGTGCACTCGCGGGGTCTCAGGGGCCCACACTCCCTCCTGGCTATCCTCCTGTGTCCGTAGCTGTGAGCAGCCAAACCCTTGCAGGCAGCTCTGCTTCTTCTGCATGGCAGACACCTTAGAAACGTTTGCCAAGCATTGGCTATAAAATGAGTTTGCAGAAATTCACTCATTATTTAACAGGTCTCAGCTGAGAGCCTCCTGTGGGTCCTACCCACCATGTGCCAGGCACTACTAGCGAGACAGGAGTGACCACCAAAGAGAACAAGCCCTGCCTTCCAGCTGCCCCATTTCTGTTGGATGGAATACAAACAAAACATTAGTGTCTAACCCTAACCCTGACTGGGAGCTAGCACAGGAAAGAGGGACCAGGGTGGCCGAGGTCTAGAGGGGCTGGGTGTATGTTCGGCAAGGACAGGCACCCTAAGGTGGCACTACAGGTTAGGCAGTAGGCCGAGAGGATCAGGGAAATGCTGCAGTGGCAAACTGGCTGGTTGGAAAAGCATTTCTAGTCCGTTAGCAAGGAGTGTATTTGATCAGCAAGGGGGATAGTTGCATAGAACTTAGAAAACTGGGGCTTAGGCCCAAGATTAAGTTTCTCTCTTGTCCACTCTGGAGTTGCTGTGGCTCCGGTGCTTCTACCATTAGACTCAGTTGTGACCCAGGATCTGGCAGTCATTTGGGCTTGGCTTATTTTGTGCAAGAGGAACTGGTACATTTTTGTCAGCACGATGCAGTCATTTGGGATGACAGGCTTTGAGGTTGATGACTGCAGCATGTTGACAGTGAACCTCTGAACTCAGCCTGAGAGCTTTAAAGGCACCAGGCCCTCCTCAGACATCTGGTGGTCTAGACACTTGGGTGTCCTCCCTGCCAGCACCCTCACTGGGATTCAGAATGTACCTTCCTGCCACTCACCCCTCACTCACAGCAGCCACTCAGCACCCGTTTGGTTTCAGGTCTGTGGCCCTTCCCGCACCAACCCTAGCGTTATGATCGATGACCTCCTGACCCCGTGCTCACCAGGTGACCCAGGGGCTATAGAGATGACTTGGATGGACGTCCCTAGTGACAAACTTTTAGAGCCTGTGGTTTGCATGGTAAGTTATCAATGGGGAGACAACTGCAGAGAACCGGGGCATGGACCCAAGAGTTAAGTTTCTCTTTTGTCCTCTCCTGGGCTGCTTTGGCTCTGGGACTTCTACCATTTGATTCAGTTGTGACCCAGGATCTGGCAGTCATTTCATTTTTCTATTATTTTTTTTTTTGCAAGAAGAATAGCATGTGCCATGAGTTTGGCTTTTTTTTTTTTTGAGTTTGGCTTCTTTTGCACAGAAGGAACTGGTATGTATTCCTCAGCATGATTTAAAGGCAAAGGCATTGAATAGTCTTGACTTCTCCTTACCTTAGTTTTGCCAACTCTTGCACATTTCTTTTATGCAAGGTGAGAAAGGAGAGGGATGCTCAGGTTTTCAGAGCAGAAAATTGGTCCAGCTAAAAGTGACAGGAAGTCTCAGAGGGGTCCCTGTCATAGGTGACACTCAGGAAGAATTGGGCAACTGTAGGGAGCTGGGCGAGGTGACCTCAGGGGAGGCTGGGGACCCAGTGCCTGGCCCCCAGCTGCCTGACCCCAGCTGCCTGCTCTTCCCTTTGCAGTCAGACATGCTCCGGTCTTTGGCCACCACTCGGCCCACTGTGAATGCCGATGACCTTCTGAAAGTTAAGAAGTTTTCAGAGGACTTTGGACAAGAGAGTTAAAAGCTTTTTCACCTGGTGACGGTGGGAGGCTGACTGGGGAAATCCACAGTACTCCCCATGCTGGTAGCCAGACAGCTTCCCCTCCACTGTCTGGCTGTTAGCAGACAGTGAGCAGGCAGGGCATCCCCGGCCAGGCTGCAAAAAAGCTAGAAGCACCAGGCTCACACAGGAAGCGGCTCCTCCTCTCCTGAGATGCTCACCAACCTCTTCTGCCACCTTTTTTTTAAAACAAAAAAACACCCAACAACCTTCCCTCTTGTTTTCCTAATTTAATGCTGCTTGAATTTTTGTCTTGTTTATAAATAAAATTACCTGGAAGCATCAGAGTGGGAGCAAGCCTGCTGGGGGTGGGGCCACAAACCTGCAGGACATTTAGACCCAAGTGGACCTGGAGGAGGGCCTGGCTGGTACCCTGGTCCCCAGCTGCCTACACAGCCCTGTCCCCTACCTGGTGTGCATCCAGGGCCCGGTCTTCCTTGGAGGAGGAGATGGTCTGTGGGCCGAGCTGTCAACATGAAGGCGTAAGCGGGTTCACTGCCCCGTCTTCCCTTTGAATGTGACAATACAGCCTAGCCACTGCCCCTGGGTCCTTGTCCTGGGTATGGCCTAATAAATCCTTTTCCCTCTGGAGCCTGAGTGGTCTCATCTTTGACTCTTGTTCAGGGCTCTTTAATGAAAAGACTGGTTTTTGTTCATGAACAGTCTGTTGACTCCTTCTTCCTAAGACCTCATATTTGGCCTTTGAGGACTTTTAGGAACCTGGATGGTGGTTCTCATCCAATCTCCAGATCATTGATAAACTGGGAGGCTGTGGGCCAGACCTGGCCTGCAAGCCATGTTCTGTTTGGTCAGCTATCAACACGTAAAACTCAGAAGTCACACTGAGCTTCCGAGTTCCAGGCAGCAGTTCATAGTTTTAGGACCTGCATTCTCAAGAGGCTGTTGAGCTAGAGCTGTGGTGCCAGGCTGCCAACATGGGGCACGGGCCTGCTGGAGGGCCGCTGTGTAAGAGCAGGGCCCGAGAGAGACTTTGGATTTCCATTCATTGTAGCACTTTTCTCCCTGTCCACCCCCCCCTCCCCAATCCCTCCGTTCGCTCTTCTCTTTAAAAATTCTTTCATTATAGAGCTGTAGTGCTGGAGAAGAGTATTGAATACACCATGAACTACCAAGAAAACAGGTTCATCCTTGAGAGGGTTAAACCAGGCTCCTCCTTGGAGGCAAGGATTCTGGGGCTTCGTCTGACATACTTTGGACATGTTGTAAGGAGGGACAGGTCTTTGGAGAGAGATATCATGCTTGGGAGGGTAGCGGGATGGTGCAGGAAGGTAAGACCCTCTATGAGGTGGATTGATTTAGTGACTGGGGTAATAAGGATGGGTGTGTCAGAGGCAGTGTGATTGGCACAGGATAGAGTAGGGTTGAGGGCTGTTGTACATAGGGCCACTATGAGTCACAAGCGACTTGATAGCACATAACAACAATAACCACCCCCCCAAGTACCCTCCACTAATGCAGCCTTCATTCTGGAGTCCTGTCATGACAATAATACCTAATCATGTACCCCTTTTAAACAGTTCTCTCCCTCATCTGTTTCAATGTAGTATATATTATTTAATCCCCTCTTAGTCTCCCCTCACCCCCGATGTCAGTCCTGTTTTACAATAGTGGCACTATGCAATATTTGTCTTTTGTGACTGAGATAGTTCCCTCAGCATAATGTCCTCCAGGGTTACCCATTCTGTATTTCATTAGTTCCTTGTTTTTCAATGCAGCATAGTATTCCATTGTGTGACTATACCAGAGCTTTTCTATCCATTCTTTGTTGATGGGCACTTGGGTTGTTTCCAACCCTTTGCTATTGTGAACAAAGCCACAATAAACATGGGTGTGCATATATCTGCTTGGGTGGCAGTTATGGTTTCTTTAGGGGTATATTCCCAGTAGTGAAATTGTTGGGTCAAATGGTATTTCTATTTGCAACTTTTTGAGAAAGTACCATACTGTCTTCCATAGTGGTTGCACCATTTTACACTCCCACCAACAGTGAATAAGGGGTCCAGTTTCTCATTAGCCTTGTGTAAAAATAACTCAGTGAAGACTGTCTTATCTCCATTTTTAAGGAGTATTTACATCAATTATTTGGGACTACATTGTTATAAAATTTTGGCTGCGGGAATAGATGATTTTTTTTTAAATTTATTATTTTGTGTGTGCTGTCAAATCAGATCTGACTGGTATAGGAGACTGCCTCTCCTCTGGCAGAGCATCTGGTGGATTCGAACTGCGTACTTCTGGGTTTGCAGTGCAGCTTTTTACCACTAGGCCACCAGAGCTCCCCTGATAAATCAAGTCTTATGGTCCTTTCTGCTAAGAACGGCTCCGTATTCTCCATCTCTCCACACAAAATTCAGGAAAAGCTCATTGCTTCAGGTTTGTTTCTCTTCTCTAGATGAGTGTGGTATTGTGTTCACAGCTGATTTCAAGCTAACACCTGCAGTCTCTTCCTGCAACCTGGCTTCGCATTCCACCATTCTGGGCAGGATCCTTGCCAAAACCAAGTGGATGCCATGTGCCCAGCTCAAAGCTGGAGAGTGGGAGGTTTCCAGAACCCTCCCAAGCTGAAGGACAGTTTTAGTCATTCACTTCCATCCAGTGGATGTTTGTCAACGTCTTGCTGTCCATTTTGTCAGTGAACAGGCAGCCCTGCAAATGGTCCATCTCGTGCTGGACGATGCGAGCTGCCCATCCACTTGCTTGCCATACCACATGCTTTCCCCTTGGGTCCAACCCTGCAAAGGGAGTGACAGCCTCGTTAGAATATGCCCAAATTTTGTAACCACCACTCCCAACCTCTCCGCATTCCCAGAACCCTTCCGGGCTAGTTCTGTACTCCCAAGAGCAGTATCAAAAAGCTGAAGTAGACAGCAGTCCTATTTTCCCTAAAAAGATAACGCAGGGTAAATTACCAAGTGTTCAGTGGGGCTGTCACCTCTGAGGATTAGGTAACTGCCTCTGTCTTCCAAATAACTGATGGCAACCAGAACTGTTTGGAACCAAGTGTGCTCAAGAGCTGCAGCCATGCCAACCCTGGCAAAGAACTGCGTTCCACAAGCATCCTGCAGAACGGCACTGAGCAGGGCAAGGCTGGTCCCATCCCTACAACATGGCAGATCTAACCGGGCCAGAACTGTGATGGAAAGGTTAGGAACACATCTGGGCCACCCTAGGAGCCTCTATCCACATCCTCCCTCTCAGCAGCTCTGCCCCATTACAATCTTAGTCCACTTCCGGACCTGCGCTCCATTCAATGATGCCAAAAGACTCAGGTGATTTGTCAAGTCTGCCCTTTTAACTAGGACTTTGCAGAAAGTCCTAGGCGAGAGGGTGCCCCAGGGTCCCCACCACCTCGCACCTGAGATCTGCACGGCCTGGAAGCGGGGCACGCAGGCCAGGAAGCCAGCGAAGCTCTCGCAGCCCTCGGGGAAGGTGACCAGGTGACTGTCCAGGACGCGCAGGCTGGGGTTGACAAACACGCGCAGAGGGAAGGGTTCCATCTGGCGGGCCTCGCGCGTGCGCGGAGAGTAGCTTCGGAGAACAGCCTCGGGGAGCTCCAGGGCCAGCACCTGCAGCGGCACCCCGAGCTGCGGCGCGCTCAGCCCCACGCAGTGTTGACGCCGCATCACCTGCACCAGCCGCTGCACCAGCCGCTGCAGTTCGGGGCCGGCCAGCTGCGCCGGCTCCACCGGGGCGGCCACAGCGCGCAGCACAGGGTCCCCCACTTGACACACGTGTGCGTAGGGCGGCTGCGGCGGGCCCCGCACCAGTCGCCTCACGTAGCGCCAGTAGGAGCGCGTGCGCGCCGGGCCCTCAAGACCCTGAGGGGCGGCTGTGGAGCTGCAGGCGCGGCCAGCGCCCCATAACCCCGCCGACCCCACGATCCGCCACGCCAGCGGCGACCCCAGCACCAGCGTGGGCCTCAGCCAGGTCATGACGAGTCCGAGCCGGAAGCCACCGCCAGCCGACTTCCGGTTCCCCGCCCCCTCCACGAAGGGAGACGCAGTCCCCTCAAGCCTCCAAGAAGCCAGGTTGTGCCTCAAAAATATAATTATGTGTATTGTATTGAAAAAGATGAGGGAAGGAACAGATTAGAGGTGAGCTATGATTATTATGGTTAGCACAGGAATCCAGAATTAAGGTTGCATAGAGAAGTTTACTCGGGGTGCGGGGTGGGGGAAGGGATGGGGGAATTGGACACTAATGAAGGAATTTTTTTTTCCGGAGAGGGGAGCGAACTGGTGGGGAGGGCTGGGCAGGGAGAAAAGTGTGGCAATGAATGAATGAAAATCCAAAACCTCTGTAAATGTCTATTAAAATTAATGAAAAAGAAAATATTTCTCCTAAAAACAAACCCCCCCCCCAAAAAAACAACAAAAAAAACAGCAGCTATTTGCTGACAGTCGGATAGCTTTATTTTTAAATCCCACATTCTGGCTATATAATCATTTACATTCTACTTATAAGCAGGAAGCGCTCCAGGAATTTACCTGCCAGTGGATAGCTGTGGGAACAGCCCTCCGCCTCTCCTCTGCTTTCCTAGTAAGATGAGGCGTCCCTAGCTCAGTGCCTCCAGCCGCAGCAGGTAGAGTCCCTGGTCACCCAGGCACTACAGGACCCAGTTTGGGAGGGGAGACAAATGTTAAGTCGCCACAGTAGGCAGATCAGTCTGCAATGCCTCCTCCTGCTGCAGCGGCTCCCCCTGCAATGGAGGCTCTTCCTGCAGTGGGGGCTCCCCGTGCAAAGGTGTCTCCTCGGGGAGCAGTAATTCCCCTTGCAAAGGTGGATCCTCCTGCAGTGGTGACTGGGGCAGTGCCCCCCCCTGCGGTGGCTCAGACTCAACCACCTCTGGGTGGTCACCCAGAGGACAACCTGAAATGGCAGGTGCTGCAGGACTTGGCTCTTCGGCTTCAAGTTCTGGGGCTGCAGCTGTGAGTTCAGACATTACTTCCTTCTCATCTAAAGAGAATACCATCTCTCTCTTTGGCAGTATAAAGGCGAGAGGCTTCTGGATGACACTGATGTTCACGTGCCCAAGTTCCCCGTATTTGAAAAGCTGAGTGGGTGGGACACCTGGGCAGGAAAGAACAGACAGTGAAATGTATTATGTATTTATAAATTAACTTCAGTATGTTGTTGTTATGTGCCATCGAGTCGTTTGCGACTCATTGCGACCCTATATACAACAGCCCTAAACCCTGCTCTATCCTGTGCCAGTCTCATTGCCTCTGACACACCCATCCCGATTACCTCAGTCACTGAATCAATCCACCTC